TAAGTGAAATAATGAAATTATGTTTGTGTATTTTTTTAAAAACCTTATCTTTTAGAAACACAATATGACAGGGAGTGGATAAGAACATAAACCAAACAAGAATGAACCTGCACTCAAAATTATTGAACCTAAATAATGGTTAAAAGGGGGTTCATTACACTACTTGTTAGACTTTTTAATATGTTTAAAGTTTTTCATGCTAAATAGTTAAAAATTTTTATCAAGAAGTTGGTATCAGGAAGTAGTAGCATACAGTTGTAATCCCAGCTCTACAGAGAACAAGGCAGAAGGATCAAGATTTTGAGCCCAGCCTGAGACTATTAAAAAAAAATTAGCCAGAACATTTATGTCTGTGACTTTAAAAGACTGAGATTTGCTAATTGAAAACAATCTGCATTTTATTTATTACTATAGTTTGTCTTTTAAAAAAATAAGTAATGCCCATAGAAAATTAAGTCTGTAGCTCTTACAATATTTTTAAAAAATGAATATGTTATATTTTGCAACTTTCATGCATAAGCAGCTACTTTGTGCCATCTGAAAATTCTATTTGATCTTATGTGCATGGACCTGAAGGAAGTCTTTATGCAGAGACACAGCCCATGGGGACATCTGAAATGCACAAGCGTAAACCATTGCCCCATCAGGCTGGGAGAATGGCTCCCACTGATTTAATGTCAGGCAGCATTTTGTTCATACCAGACTAATCTGTAAATAATCTGTACCTAGTAGCTGATAGTGTGGAGACAGTACAACATAAAGGAAGACTAAACACAACCCAGGCATACATGCCAATCTCAGTGGAACCAATTACTAGCTGTGACCTTGCTGTATTGAGAAAAACAAAAACAAAAACAAAAAAATGGTGAAGGGGAGCATCCAGACAAAGCTAGATTGTCTCCCAAAGCTAGAGACTCACTCTCACTTACAGGTAAGAACCATCAGTGTATCCATATAATTAGAGACTGTTGGAATTTAACCAGAATTTGTGTGGAAGTTTTTACTCACAAGGTGTGGTTATCTAGTTCTTGCATATTTCCAGGGAACCTGAAACCATGATTGACCTTTGTCCAACCTAGGGATGTGGCTTTTAGAATGTGCTTCTGTTAATGGCTAATGGTTATGTTTTGTGCACCTAGAACAATGAATGAAGTTGCTTCAGCTTATCAAGATTGCATTGCATGAAGTATGAGCATCTGATTTCACTGTTAGGACCGTACAGTTCAGTTGCCCTAGCTTGATGTCTCTGTGACTGATTCTTTAAAGCCTCAGATCCACAGATGTGGACAGTTTTCTCTGGACAGATACACTGTACTCATGCCTGTCACTGGTTCCAGGAAAGGGTGTGTGAAGTTTCCCTCCCAGGTCTTTGACTGATCCCAGAATAAGAATTTCCACACAAGTCACAGTGGTAAGAAAACGTGGCAGAGTGCTATTGAATATGCAGACAAACATGGCAGAGCTTGATTGAATATGCAGAAAAGGAGACAAGCAGAAAGGCAGAGGCACACTCTAACAGAGGGTATGTGCTGAAAGGGAGACACTGAGCTCTTTGAGAGCAGGGGCATATATATGATAAAGGCAGGGTTTGACTTCAAGTAATTGTAGGGTAAGTGTTTTTCTTTGTTTTCTCTTCTAGCATGGTTTAATCACTCCTGGTGTTACACACTTTTATTATCTGGGCTCAGAGTTTCTAAGATTAACCTGCTCATTAAACATTTGAAAGAAAATATATATATATATATATGTATATATAACTTTTTTTGTCAGTCGTGGGGCCTGAGCTCTGGGCCTGAGCACTGTCCCTCAGCTCTTCAGCTCAAGGCTAGCACTCTACCACTTGAGCCACAGCACCACTTCCGGCTTTTTTCTTTTTGCTTATGTGGTGCTGAGGAATCGAACCCAGGGCCTCATGCATGCAAGGCAAGCACTCTACCATTAAGCTACCTTCCCAGCCCCACTTCTATATTTCTAAGTATTGTATTTGCTTTATAATTCCTGGCTGCTATTAATCATGCATTTTCCTTAATCTGTCCTGCCTCATGCCCACATGTGTGGCCCCAGATGTGGAAATAGTGAAAAGACTATGTATGTCTGAATGCTGTGGATACTTCCTGATACATATCCTTTTCCTAATGCTCTTGGTCTATAGTCTTTTATTCTAATCAACCTTCTCTATGAGGATAAGCCACTATTGACTCTTGTGAGTCCTTTCCAGTGAGTCAGCAAACTTAAAAGGCAGCTTTATGACCTGAGACATGTAAAAGGACTAGCACGGTGCCTGCCATTTTGGCACTTCGCATGTACCTGTTAGATGTTGTTTGACTAGGGGAAAAAAAGGCTCAGAGAATAGAGAGCTGGCTCAACACCAGCTCTGGCTTATTTAGCTAAAGCTAAAGATTCACTCTTACAGGGTAGGATATTTAGAGTTGGTTCATGAGAGGTTGGTGGTGGTTGGTAAGAAAACAACTAATGGTGAGGATTTGTTGTTTGGGGATTTAATTTTTTGAGTTCCACGTATATTTTAGATATGGTGAGACATAGATGACATGCAAAGGGTCACAGCTGGAGAAAGGGAGGGAGGGATGGGGGTGGAGGTGTTTGTTCAAGGTCCTGGTCTGGCACCTGGCAAGTTAATTACAACCAGACAAGGTGAGAATGCAGGAACTTTGTCTGCTTTTCTCAACTATGCCCTTGAAAGAAGCAAGTATAACCTTTAATCAATGAGGAAGTTAGACTATCTGATCCAAAATTTTATCCAGCTCTCCTACCCCTGCTGACTGTAGTAAAAATGGGTAAATGAATGGAGGTCCCTGAACTCCAACTGAGACCTTTTGAGAGTACACACCATGGAAAAATCTTTTGCAGTACTGAAGTGAGAAAAAGAACGAGAAGCCTTGTTGAGAGTGCCAAAGAGGACAACACTTATACTAATGTATGGTGCTTTTCAGATGTATTTGTGGTATGTGTGTGTGTGTGTGTGTGTGTGTGTGTGTGTGTGTTTGTGTGTGTGTGTGTTGCAGGCCAGACCTTCACATTTACTGCCTGTCTTTGGAAGAAGTAATATTAGAAATGATTTTTTGAGAAGTTCTCTAGTTTAGCTAAAAATCAGCATGTGAAATGTCATACTCTGTGCTGCAAAACAAAATATCTTTAAATAAATGGCTTATAGGGCTGGGAAGTTGGCTCAGTGGTAGAGCGCTTGCCTTGCATGCCTGAGGCCCTGGGTTCAATTCCTCATAAGCACCACATAAGCAAAAAGAAAAAAGCCGGAAGTGGCGCTATGGCTCAAGTGGTAGAGCACTAGCCTTGAGCTGAAGAGTTGAGGGACAGCGCTCAGGCCCAGAGTTCAGGCCCCACAACCAGACCCCCCCCAATAAATAAATAAATGGCTTATAGACAACAAATTCTGAACTCTTGGAAGTTCAAGATCAAGGCACCAACAGATTCAGTGTCCAATAAGGAGTAGTTCTATGGTTCATCCATGGAGCCTTTTTGCCATGTGTCACATAGCTGAACAGGTGAGCTCTTCAGTCCCTTATAAGGGCACAATCCCATTCACCAGGGCCCTTCCCTTCCTCCCAAACCTACCTCTTAATTCCTTCATATAAGGGATTAATTTTCAATCTCATTTGAGCAGCCCAGTGAAAGCAAGCATTCAAAAGAAAAAACCAAACAAACCAAAGTAAGCACTAAAAGAGACAGTTGTAAATTATGAGGATTCCATATTAAAATATAAAACCAAGCATATAGCTAAGTGGTAGAATATCTAGTAAATACAAGGCCCTAGGTTGCTTTGATACCTAGCACCACAAAAATTAAGATGACTTGAGGTCTTAGGGCTATAACTCAGTGGTAGAACACTTGTATAGCATGCATAAGGCCCTGAGTTTAATCCCTTGCATTATATACATATATATGTATATATATACATATATATATATTATATATATATATATATATATATATATATGGATACACACACACACACACAGACACAAACTTTAGGCTGAGAATGTAGCTTAATAGAACAACTGACCAGCATGTGTGAGGCCCTGTGTTTAATATTCAGCACTGTAAAATAAGTAATAAACATAAACGTCATTGGATTGGGGCTTCAATCCAAAGATAAGCCCAGGGAAGGACTCCAGGGTACTCATTTGGCAAGTTGCTAGATTTGTATGGGAACTCATGTTTATAGTTTCTATTCAAGTGACCATATCTAAAAAAGAAAGAACCTTGTACCTGGTGCAGTTAGCTCATGGCTATAATCCTAGCTACTCAGGAGACTGAGATCTGAGGATCATGGTTCAAAGCCACCATGGGCAGAAAACTCCATGTAACTCATCTCCAATTAACCACAAAGAGCTGGAAGTGGAGCTCTGGCTTGAGTATTAGACTGCTAGAATTGAGCACAAAGGCTTAGGGACAACACTGAAGCCCAGAGTTCCAACCCCAGGACCAATAGAAAGAAAAGAAAAATAAAGAAAGGAAGGAAAGAAGGAAGGGAGAGAGAGTGAGAGCAAGCGGGAGAGAGAGAGAGAGAGAGAGAACCTTGTGCATCTAAAATATGGTGACGCCAGGCACTGGTGGCTCATACCTGTAATCCTAGCTACTCATGGGGTCTGAGATCTGAGGATTGCGGTTCGGGACCAGCCCATACAAGAAAGTTCATGAGACTCTTATCTCCAATAACTACTTTGAAAAAGCCAGAAGTGATGCTGTGACTCAAGTGGTAGAGTGCTAGCCTTGAGCACAAAAGAAGTTCAAGTCCCAGTACCAGCAATAAAATAAAATACAATGAAAAATACACCAATAATATGCTATGCTGGGTATTTATTAATTTTAGAACAAATTGCCTCCAAGATGGATAGATGTAATCTTTCTATTGATCACAGACGAATTTTCTCTGTATCCATAACTAAGCTGAAATGATGATGAGACACAAGAGTTGGTTGAATTTTGATCCTTCTTGGTTGGATTTTGTTTTTATTGAGCCATTAAACATTTCTGCTGCGTTTGGGGAAAACTTCATCACGGTTTATATTGCACAGAATTATTATTTCTGCATCACTATCATCTGAATCATACATCATGGAATCATCGTTACTCATGATCTCTTGGTATGATTCGTTGTTGGAGTCTACTTCAGGGTAGAATATAGAATAATACTGTCTCTTGCTCGAAACATAAAAGTTTAGTGTGTTTTTCTTCATTGCCGCAGAAATGTTATTTATCAATAATTCTGAAGAAGGGTTACAAACAAGACATCTTTCCTTAAAACACTGGCATCTTTTCGATAATAAAGGTTGTGATAGCTTGGCTGCATTTTGTACACTCGATTTTTTAGGATGAAAACGTTTGCGTGACTTAGCTGATTTCCTTGATTTGGATGGTTTGCATGACAAGATTTGATTTCGTGAGTGAGTAAGGCAAGGTAACTTGATTGACCGGGTTGATGAATGTGGTTTAGTTACAGGAGGTAATTCGAATGGCTTATATGGATAGACTGAGCTGTCTACCTTATGGATACTGGGTAAGTTTTCTAGACTCTGTGTCCTATGTGCTTTTTCCAGGTGATGTGACCTGGAGGATTTTTTCGATGACTTGGATGATATTTTGTCGCTTGGTGGTCTGTTTAATATTTCGGCACAGCATGGTATGGATATGTTTTCTGGACATGGGAATGCGATTATCTTTTCATTACTGTTTGGTGGGGACAGTATTTCTGCACTTGGAAGTGGAGAAAACATTTCTCCAGCAGACATCATTAGGTATCTTTCTAGACTGTATGAATTTGTTATCTTGAAATCATCAGCTAATATTTTGGATTGATAAGATGACATAGCTGAAATACCTGGTCTGTTTTCCCTAAAATGCAGAAAATTTGGAGTGTAACAATGTAAACAAAACAACTCTACTACTATCAACAGAAACAACAGGGTACTAAGTCAACTTAAAGGTTTGGACTTTTCTTGTTCTTGTAAAATAACTAAACATAAGAACTGGAAAAAGGTATAACTCATATCACAAATATAAATTTATATAAAATGTTTTCCTTGAGTATTTTAGATAAATAAATATAGATAAAATATCTAACATACAATTGTAGAGAGAGATCCTCTCTTATTTCAAAAATTAACCTTTTTTATTTATTTTTATTTTATTTATTTATTTAGTTTTGGTCCGGTCGTGGAGCCTGAACTCTGGGCCTGGGCGCTGTCCCTCAGCTCTTCAGCTCAAGGCTAGCGCTCTACCACTTGAGCCACAGCGCCACTTCTGGCTTTTTTTCTTTTTGCTTATGTGGTGCTGAGGAATCGAACCCAGAGCCTCAGGCATGCAAGGCAAGTGCTCTACCACTGAGCCACCTTCTCAGCCCCAACCTTTTTTTATTAAAACAAAAAACTGTAAGACTCTTAAAGCAAAGCCATTATTTTCCTATCAGCTTTACAACATCAAGTAATTTATTTATCTGTATTTATATTCACAATGTTCCTCTAAAAAGTATTGGAAACACTGGGACCACATTTAGTCCATAGTCTTTAGACTGAAAAATATTTAGGAAACCAGTATTAAGGACCAGCCTAATCCTCTAATATGAAAACAAAAATTACAGTTATGAGGGTAATCGTATCATTAAATGTTAAAATGATGGGTTTCCCAGAATGCTTTATGGCTTTTGAAAAAATGGAAGCCTAGCTCCCATCTCTCTCCTTTTCTTTCTGAATTTTTTCATTATACATTTAGTTTAGGAAAAGAGAGTACAAGAACTTGAAAAAAATGAACCCTGAATAAGAGAGCTTTGGCAAAAGTTGAGAAAGTATTTGACAAATTTATGAAGGCTGTAATTTAAATAAATGTATCTATTCATAGGAGGTTGATGGCTCTTTCAAAAGTCTAATCTTTTTTTTTTGCTGGTCGTGGGGTGTGAACTCTGGGCCTGGGCGGTGTCCCTCAGCTCTTCAGCTCAAGGCTAGCGCTCTACCACTAGAGCCACAGCACCATTTCAGGCTTTTTCTGCTTATTTGGTGCTGAAGACTGGAACCCAGGGCCTAATGGATGCAAGGCAAGCACTCTACCACTGAGCCACCTTCCCAGCCCAAGTTAATCTTAAGTACTCTAAATAAGGAAACCTCCACTGTGGAGGTTCACATTTTTAATTTAAAGGCATAAAACTTTAAATGAAATTTAAAATATTAAAATTATTTACGTTTTATATTTAAAGGTGTAATACTTACATGTCTGAGCTGACAGCATCATCGACCATACAATTGTAGTGAAGAAAACAAAAACACGTGAACACAAAGGCTATTATCATAATGCCAATGATGAAAATTAGTAAGCGTTTCCTGAAATCATCCATTTTTGACGGCATTGGCATGGAGCTTTCAGTTCCTGCAAAGAGATTGTGTAAGGTCCGCTCCTAGATGGCTAGCAGACTCCACCCTCCTCGCAGCAAAGTCTCCACCCATTACCTGCGTTACCTAGGCAACTGGCACACCTGGAAGAGGTCACATCTGCATCCGCTGAGGTCACATCTGAATTTGATGTGGCCACACCTTTCCCCGCCCATACCCTACATAAGGCCTAGCCCAGGTCCAGACGCTCTCTTGCTCTTGCTCTTCTTTTCTGCTCTCTTGCTCTTTTCTGCTCTCTCTCTTGCTCTCTCTGTTCTATTCTAGCTCTCTCTCTGTTCTTTTCTTGCTCTCTCTCTTTCCCAGCCACATGGAGTGCCAACTTGCTCTTTTCTGCTGTCTCTCTCTTGCTCTCTCTGTTCTATTCTAGCTCTCTCTCTGTTCTTTTCTTGCTCTCTCTCTTTCCCAGCCACATGGAGTGCCAACCTTGCCTGGTCCCAGCAGGTCTACCCCTTACCTGAATACCACATGAGTGCTACTGTTCTTACCCCTCTCTCTGCTCTTTTCTGGCTCTTTTCTCTTTCCTCTCTTCCCAGCTCTCTCTCA